TGCTTTGTATACGGGAGGACGCAGGTTCGAATCTCAGCCGGGTTTTCTCAGTCCCTCTTGGTAAACGACGTCACAGTACCTTAAATTCGGCCACGACCGCTACATTGCACACACTTTCCAAATTACATTTCATTAAAAGTCTCATCATTCGACTGTAAATAATCTGAGATATTTTCAGCGTCGTTAGATAAGCCCTAAATAAACTTACTTTGAACGTAGGTGAGATCCTAACCTAACCAGGTCGCGGAAATTACACTCAATCTGGATTCAACTCCGCGTAAAAGCGAACTATCTAAATTGTTGTTGTGGTTCTTTTAATCTCTGTCTGACGTCACCGTGGATTTACATTTACCGATGTTACACTGGTTCTCAGAAGTCGAGTTTTTCAGCACGAAAATATCACACGCGTTGCATTTCAACTGAGCAGAATGTCGACATTGCATTAAGAGTGGCTGGCACTAACGAAACAGAAGATCCGAGTCCCTACATTCTCCATTTTTACATGATTTCCACCTAAATTTGCACGCTGCGCCTCAAGTGGCAACTTTTCCAAACCCCCAAAAAACAAACGATCACAAAATTCCGTGAAACTGACGTCACAATAATTGGTACTGTTTTAGTCTGACGCGTTCAGGGACGCTCGTATCCGGGATCTTACGATTCGGGGTTGCGGCCTAACCAACCTGCCCGAAGGAGCGTTTGCAGGTCTGGAGGCAACTCTGCAGGCGTTAGACCTGGGATCCAACAACCTCACCGACTTTCCCCGCCAACTGCTCTCCGACTTCGACTTCCTGCGCACGCTCACACTACAAGGCAACAGATTGGCAACCATCAGCTCTTCGGACACTCTCAAGGGCTTTCAGTATTCCCTTTACCGCCTGGACCTGAGCGGCCCAGAAATGGGCATCACATCGCTACAGGATCTCCGCAGGTATAAATTCAGTCTCTGCCAAAATTGTTCCAGGCCAGGTGCTTCAACCAACTGGTCCCTCCGACTCCATCAACATCTTCCAGCCGAATCTGCATCTCCTGGATTTCAGCAGATCAGAGACGGGAGTAGTAGTCCACGATGTCTTGTCCGCAATTCCTCCACCCAGTCTCAAGAACAACTTCCGATGTCCTCTGTGGCAAGTTCATGTCGCAATTTACGACTTATGTTGTAGGATGCGCAACCTGAGGTTCGCGTCGCTGAGTCGCTTGCCACGGCCGCACTTGTCACCCGAAGACTTCGAGGAGTTCGGCGTGGACCTGGAGGAACTGCGAGTGACCAACAGCGACCTGGGGGTCATCAAGAACAACGCGTTCCGCCATGTGCGGGGCCTCAAGGCACTCGACCTCTCCGAGAATGTGATCAGTCAACTCGAGAATGAGGCGTTCACAGACGTGAGTCTTTCCTGCGAGGTTCACGGAGATGATGACAGCCTCAATGGGTCTGTCTTTGCACTCCCTTGGGTTAGAACTCTGTGGAAACTAGTCCATGAGAGGTCGTCGATGTCAATTAAAATTCCAACGAGGAATGGTCGAATGACAAATTGTGCAACAGACGTTCGGCCTGACCCCACATTCACAGCGTAATTTTCAACTCTGATGATAATTGGCTTCAGCAGGTTCTGTCCGGGCTCAAATTTGAGCCTGGAGACCAGCTATATATATTTTTTCCTCAGTCCCTCTGAGACAATACTAAAAAGTGCCTTAACTCAGCCCGCGATCACTAACTTCCACATGTTCTCCAATCCATATTTTCTACTTCATTTATCTGTGGTTTGTTTAACGGCGCCGTCAGACTAAACAGCGTTAAACAAGGAACGGATGTGGGACGAAGCAGCCGTGTCCTGGAGCAAAGTACTATCCCGCAATATGCCTGGAGGGGCTGAGGAAAGCGACGGAAATTCTCAGTCACGATAGTCGTCTCCGGGTCGAAGTAAAATCCGGAACTTGGCGAACATCTCACTTCGAAGTCCAGTCATTTTTTATTCTTTTTTCACTAATTAACTTCTGTTAGGTAAATATAGTTTCCCTGTCGCAGGTCGGGCATTCACTGGAGACGCTGAAGGTGTCCCATGGTTTGGCGGCTTCTCTTAGCAGCGTTCCAGCCGAGGCCATGCGACCTCTGACGAATGTCCAGCACCTGGACTTGAGCAACAACAGACTGAGGTCCGTGCCTGAGACGTCTTTCCACTTCCTGAAGCGTCTCCGGGTCCTGGAACTGCAGCATAACCAGATCGACGCCGTGCAAAAGGGAACTTTTCAGGTAAAACCGCGCACAGCTCGTGGAGGACAGCGGAACTTCTGAGCGAAGCTGAGGCGCACGACAATCCACCGATAAAATGATTTGTTTATAAAAAAAAATAGCAAGTACTAATGTAATACAGGTCCGAAAATGACGAATTAAGTCGAAACAGAACGACAACAAAATTATAAAATGGAATGTTGCGTAGTCGGACCGATTAAAAGTAGAGCTCTCCATTGCATTCCAGGGCGTTATCCACGTCGCCCTGGAGGAGCTTCACCTCTCATTCAACAGCCTTGAGTCCGTCAACATGCACACGTTCGTGGACCTGCCGTCACTGGAGGAACTACGCCTGGAGGACAACAAGATCGCGCGCATCGACCGACGAGCCTTTATGAACATGGACCGGCTCACGAGACTGGACCTGCGCGGGAACAAGTTGAGGGACATCTCCGACGAGGCCTTCCAGAACTTGCCCGAGCTCGAACTGCTTAACCTCGCGTACAACAAGCTGCAGTCTCTCGACTTCTCAATGCTGGATCAGGTGAGCGTCTGTCAAGCGACCACTTACGAGCTCTGTGTCTACAGGGAATAACACTGCACGGCGCTGTACGTGTCCGCAGGTTGGCACGCTCTCGTCCTTCCGTCTGAACGTGAGTCACAACGCCCTGCAGCTCCTGGAGCCGAACGCCACGAAGGGTCGCGGCGGCGAGGTGTCGAACGTCAGGGTGCTGGACCTGTCGTACAACAACATAACGCGGGTGGTGCGGAACTACTTGAGACCGGCGGAACGCTCCCTAACACACCTGCACCTGTCCCACAACCGCCTGAGCAACGCCACCCGCGAGGTGTTCGGCGGTATGCCGCACCTGCAGTGGTTGGACCTCGGCGACAACGAGCTGGCGGAGCTTGAATACGACGTCTTCCGCAACACGAGGAACCTTCAGGTTGGCGTTGTCGATTTACCTCCAGATCAATCTGACACGCGTGGGGCTGTAAGCGACAACTCAGGACACCTGAGTGTAAACTGATAAGGATATAAGTTTTTTTTTAAAAAAAAAGTAAAACCGACGTAACATTTAACCTTATCGGTTTTGCTGAAGATCTCTAACGCCACATTTAGCCAAAGTTCCTTCAGTAACATCGCGAAATGTTCATGTTGACATCCGCAGGTGCTGATCCTTTCACACAACAAGCTTGCCAACATCCCCGCGGAAGTGTTCAGGCCCACCTCGGGCCTGCGTGTACTAGACGCGTCTCACAACAAACTGCGCTCTCTGCCCGACGCGCTCTTCAGCGACGGAGGGATGGAACGGCTCGCGCTGGCCCATAACCAGTTCCCCGACCTCCCGCTGTCCAGCCTGAGACCCGCGGCTGCGGCCACTCTGCGTGAACTCGACCTGTCGTCGAACTCCATCGCGTCCCTCAGCAGCCCCGACGTCTTATCGCGGTTTAAGGTATGCAACGCGATGACTAGTTGACAGGTATTGTAACCACAGCACTGTCTAGACAACGAGATGCACGACGTTTCGGTAGCTGGCCTTGTCTCTGTCCTCAAACAGAGCGAACAGATCCAGTGACGCGAACTACCTTCGTTAAAAGAGCCCAAAACGTGTATCTCCCTATCTTCTTCCATCAAGACAGGGTTAATACACAGGACTCACCGAGGTTTTACGAAGGACTTCATCCAGAGCATAAACGCAAACCATTGCCGCAGACTTCGCTATGGGCCGGATGCTATTTCCCCGTTCCGGACCGGTTAACCTAAACGGTGTTCGTCGTGGTTTTCTGTAGACCCTACACATTCATAAAATCTCTCAGGACAACACAAAATCTCCCAAAACACGTAACTTTGGCAATTTCCTTTATGCCAAGAAGTAAATATATCTTCAATAAACACGCTACACATAGTACGCAGGTGCTGTAGTTCATGACCCCACCTTCAGACTCCTGGGTTCAACTACCAGACAGTAAAAGTGGGGTTTGCGATGAACAAAACATGTTCTCCGGGCACTCTGCCCATCGTAGCTCTAGAAATGATAATAAACGCCGAGAGACGTTGTCAGCTGTTTGTGTGTGTGTTTGAGGGGGGGGGTTGACCTCTAACCCGGTACCTGACCTGGGTGGACTCAAGTGAGCAGATCTAATCACACCCTGGATGCTCTTTCAGTCGCTGATGCTGTTGGACATCTCGCACAACCATCTGTTAAGGATCGATGACTCGGCCTTCTCGACCCTCGGCCGCCTGTCGTTCCTGGACTTGAGTCACAACTCGGAGGTTGTTCTGGACCCTCGAGGTCGCAGTTTCAAGGGCCTCGAGAGCTCCCTGCTGCAGCTGCATCTCCGCAACGCCTCGCTGGGCTCTGTACCCGAGCTGACGCTCCCGGCACTTCGTACCCTGTGCCTGGCACACAACCACATCCAGGATGTCCCCATCGAGATGGCCAGCAGCTTGGCCTCGCTGCAGCGGCTTGATGTGTCCTACAACCAGCTGCAAGTACGTCTTTCGCGAGTTGTGCATTGCTCGCCTATATAGTAAAAAAAAGGTTAACGAAGAAACTTCATTCTGGTCCACAAGAAATGTCTCAATGGCTCCTATAAAAGGCGTATATTCATTTGGAAGTGTAATCTGACGCATCTTTCATTCTCTGTACCCAAACTACGCAACACTGTTTTGACCGTCACTTGTTACAGACAGTACCATCAGCAGCGCGCTCTTTGCCTCGCCTCAGACACCTGGAACTTGCGGCCAACCCCATTACAACTCTGAGCAACGCCAGTTTCCAAGGAGCCATAGAAAACCTTCAGTCACTGGACATCCGACACCTCGAACTCATCTACTTTGAGGTGAAGTAAATTCGCATAGAATTATCCACGTATCAGCCTGGAAATACGTCTCCTGTCTAGTTTAGTACGCGAAAAAACAAAACATGAACATGACCCGTATCGAAGTTCGTAACTTCTTACAACGCCCGTGTGCTGAGATTATTCAATTCATTCGTTTCTCAGTACAGTTCATCTCGAATTCTGGCCCATGGACTTATCATTCGACGTTGCAAAACAAAAAGTTTAATTTTTAATATCGTTGCCTTCTTAATGTTTCAGCACGGTGCACTCAGTAGGATGACGTCACTCAGAACGCTGTATATAAGTCCGTATTCCGATGTTCGCGATTTCAACATACCACAGAGAATTCAGCAGAACTCTGGTCTGAGGAATCTGCACATACAAGTAGGTAAATTAAAGACGTAGGCCTACACCAGAGAGTGAGAGACCCGTAGGAAACCACGGGAATAACACGAACTGACTTGCACAGGTTCTGGAGGAGAGTGACCTTGAGAAAGAGCTGTCGGGCGCTCTACCGAACAAAGTCCGAAATATCACCATCAGCGGCGAGAGACTGGAGTCCGTCCCACAAAGCCTCTTTAAAGTGAGTAAAAGCACACAATGCGATATCTCGATTCACTTCAACAGCTAAGATAAAACACCGTCGAATGACAGAGCTTAAACTGAGCAGTGCGCGTGTTTCAGGGTGTGCGAAGCCCCAGCCTACACTTCACTCTTCGCAACACAAGTGTGAAGACACTGCCCAGGTCGCTTTTCGAGCAAACGAGCTGGGTTCGAAACCTGAGTATAGATGTGAGAAACAATTCGCTCCAGTCCCTGGGGAACCCAAACACAGGAGAGTTCCCGGGAGTTCCCCGTAAGATGTTCACCACGGAACTGCAGCTCGAGGGAAACAGATGGACGTGCGACTGCCAACTGGGGTAATTAAACCGAACTGAAGACAGGAAACAAATCTTTCATTTGGGTTGCACATCGACCACTGTGACAAGACAGAGTCCTTCTCCACCCCCCCCCACCCCCACCCACATATTCCTGTCTGGTCTACGTCGCATGACATTACTAAAACACATGGGTCGGCCGCAGATGGCCACTTCACTAGCCGCCACGATCACCTGACATCACATTCCACCGTGTGGAGTGGTCTAGGGTAGCTTTAATGTTACTGGACCTTAGTCTGAAAGCACGCACATTTGTATAACGACAAGATTTTTTTAAAAAATGAATAATATATCACATTAAATACGCATTACATTTATTTACGTGACCTGTGCTAACACTTGTAATGCAAGGGACAATTTCTGACGTATCGCGACGTCGTGAGAGGCACCCGCGGCCCGATAATGCGGTTTCCCGAGGAACAGCTCTCTTCTGTTGCAGGTGGATAGAGGTGTGGCTACGTAAAAAAAGGCAGTACCTGTGTCCGGAGGGCAGGCGGGAGTGCCTTGAGGACGACGACCTGCGCGAGGCTCGATGCGAGAACCACAACAACGAGTCGCTGATTGAGGTGCTCAAGTCGGAGGTGGAGTGCGGCTGGGGGTCAGGTAGCCCCGCCACGAGGCCGTCCTGGGTGCTTGAGGTCGCCGTCATTGGCTCCACCGTCATCAGGATCCTTGGACACGGCGTTCCCGACAGACCCTTATAGGATGTTCGCCACACATGCAGGCCTGCCGCGTAAAGGATTACGTCTTATAACACATGATACAAGGCCCACAGCAGAAAACATTAATTGTTAACCGAATATGACAGACAAAAACTTCGAGATAACAATTATATATAGCATGACTGTCGAATTTTGGTTTCAAGCAAATACCGAGATCATGAAAAATGTAAGCTTACTCCTACAGTTCTGAGAGAAATGAACCCAGTGAACACCCTCGCATTTCTTTAAAATATGAACGTCTACGGCTGGATCCACCCGGTCTTTTCACCCTTTTTATATTCCAGGAAATTATCTAATCAGAAGCCTGATACATCTTCGTTGAAGACCTACTCCATGAATCTAAAATGTGAGATGTGTGATGAAAAAAATGTACGAAAGACAAAACACACTGTATAATTTAAATATAAATTATCCAGTTTGTCATAATTTGCATGAACATTATTCCAAAAATACACATTTCTTCAATTGGCTGATACACAGTACGTGATTAAATTTAAATTAAGCCGAGCTCAGCTTTCGAAATCGGCTATTCAAACGCCAGAAGTGAACAGAACGCCTACAGACACGCGTTAGACTGACCCGCCTTGCACAGGTGTCGGAGAAGTCACCGAATGGACACGGCGCTCTCAATTCTTTCAAACGATACGCACGTCTTGAGGCGGGAATGTCGATTGTCGTGGTTTAGGCGCCGTGCAGACTTCTGGGGGTATAAGCACCTTGATGCGACACGTTTCTCCGAGACGTCGGTAACCATCTACAAGACCACAGATTCACAACTCAGAAGATGAGAATGGCCAAAGATACGGTAGGTCGTGTTCTTCGAAATCATCGTAAGTCGCCGTGGTCAGGGAATCCCGCGATTGGGTCACTGCAGGCAATGAGAAGCCAGCCGACTTACGACACGTGACCTGTGCTGGTACCAACATGTCGAGCGACTTTCGTCTCCAGTCAGGTGAAAGTTACGTACGGAAAATAGGGCATTAATTATCATGGGTTTTAACCAATTTGGTGGCACACTGCAGTTCGAGAAGTGGCCTTCTCTGATAAAAGTTTTCCAAAGCCTTTTGAGGCACTCAAATCTCTCTGATATGGAATTAGCCTCAAACGTCACACAGCCATTAAGGTCAACTGACCTAGCAGCCCCTGCGCCTTCGTATGTTGGGTTTCACTGTGTATGAATCCAAATTAAACAGAAGAGAGTAACGACATCGAATTTGCAATGCTCCACGTGAGGTTCGGGTTATCTTGAATTAAAAACATCCACAGATAAGTAATCGTTGAGAACAGGACCAATGTTTATGGGGCATTTCTGACTGGAAACGAACTCAGTAGAAGGGCAGATAAGTTTTGACACGAAGTTCCCTGCAATGAGTGTGAGTGATCCATTTTCTAATCTAATCTAACGTTAACAGATGAAGTTTTTACAGGCCTACGTACGTTCAACCGTTGTAAATACGAGACAGCTCTCGAAGTATCATTCGAATTATCAAATCAAAGACGATAAGGTGGGCGAAACGTGTAGCACGCGTAGCAGAGATGAGAAATACAAACATCTTCACACTCGTCGCCGTGAAAACCCGAAATCTCGCTTGGGCTTCAAAGGTTCTCAGGGCGAGACAAACTTATTACTGTAATAAATGCGTTATGGGATCGGAACTCCAGCAACTGCGAGGCACCGAGGGCCCAACAACATTCTTGACCCCCGAACGGAATAAGACACGCCAGAGTAAAAGAACCGTTGCATGTTTCCCCCCCTCTCACTTCGCACCGCTGGAACGCAACGCAGGGGTGACCAGAGCGCAATGCGACCTGTTTTCCTAACGTCAAGCCATCATTATCATCGGGGACAGAGGCGACGGACATATTCTTTGAAAACGATGTATCAACTGCATAGGTAAATATGACGTTCCAAACGCGGCTTTCGATTGGTTCGTGTTCGGCAGGTTCCGGGTTGAAATCTCGACCGAGCATCACTCGTGCGGTGTGTCGAACTTTTGCTATGACCCTACACCGTCGAATGACTGGATCATTAAAAAATTGTAAAGGAACTGATCCTATTTCTGCCAACTGAGGAAAACAACAACAACCTGGGTCCCCAAGACAGAAAACCCACTTTAATTTTTAACGATTTAAAGACAACGTATTTATGAGAACGTTTGTCATCTGGAACGTTGCCAGATTACCGACGTTTCAGATGTGGTTTCTGCCTCCATCATTGCCACGACAATGGAAGCAGCTGGTACTTCTGAAACGTCGTTAAACTTCCGCCAGACTACTACAGACGACAGCCATCCTCATACTTTCTATTCGAAACTCGTGACGCGCGATGGTATCCTGGACACCCCTGTTTCTCCCACTGAGCAGAGAGAAGGAGAGCCAACGAAAACACCAGCAGGCGATGTACCAGCAGCTAGTCGCTTAGCGACCAGCGCTCAGTCAGGTAACGCGGTGTAGTGCTGAATTGTTGTGACATTTCTTGCGCTGTGGTTGAAGGACCCCCCCGCGTATCAACAGCATCCCCAAGGATCAAATTAGAGGCGAATCTGCAGTCCACGAGTTTTAGACCATTGTTTGACGTTGCGCCGGAACAAATAATGGCTCTGACTGATTAACGGAACAATGAACTTTTAGTGAACTGGTAGCGAGTGATTGTTTCGGAATGGAGTAGCGTCCTCTGCGAGTGTACAGTGAGCGACTGCCAGTGCCGTGTATTTTAACGGGATTTGTCTGCACGACAGGTAAGAGGACGAAAGTGTGAAAGGAAGCTTGTAGCGCCTCCAGGCTAGACTCCACCCGCAAGGGGGCTCGTCGACTTATAGATAGACGCCGACGTTTCGGAGGAACGTACAGCTTGCACAGTATAAAAGATAATGAAACATTCCTGAATCAAAAACAGTGCCAAATATATCAGTAATGACCGATTTTGTTAAGAGAATTACTAAGTAAAATTATCCTATGTGAACCTGTTTGCATTAGTAAATTAGCAATTTTGAATTTAATACAAGAAATTCCACGAGCGTTCTGTCAATAGTTGTTTAATGAGCAGGAAGTAACAACATTGGACGAACGTGTTGGTTTTACTCTCAATTCTGTACGGACTGAACGCGCTATGAACGACGAGATAGTCTCGCCTGATTCCACACACTTTAAAATGCATGTACGTTCCTTCTCGATGAGGGGAACAAAATTGTCAGGATTCACTCAAACTGAAGACAGTCCATAACATATTTCCTCGAGATCTGCTTCAGACACAAATTTATTGTTAAAAAAATAATCAATTCTAGCAAAGAATAATATATCCTGGAAAATTGTTGAATGAACTTACTTTAAGGCCCCTTCTCTTGAATTAAGCTGGCAAACAACAGGTAAAACCAGATCGAAACCCGAGCGTACGAACACCATACACGAGATTGGACAGCTCGTTCAGTTAAGTGACTGAACGGCATTCGAATCCCGGTTGGGGCATTTTCTTTGAAACCACCGCTGTTTACGGACTGGTTCCAGGGTCTACCGACTGGGAACCAAGGGTAAAGCGGTCCGGAGCATGAAACTCACCACTGGCTTACAATTTCGAGGCCAAAAATGCGTGGAGATTTTCCTCCATTCCCCCTACACTTCTTCAGACTCACTGGCATGTGTCGCTGTGCACAGTTAATCCGAGACTCATCAGCGAAGTGACCATGACCCAGAGCGGTCCCGGGGCGGAACGAGTCGCATTCTGATTAACGGGTTCGCCACATAACGACTTTTTGACGAACCCAGCTGTGATCTGGGTGACATTCCTGCAGAACACGTCAAACTAAAAAAAAACCTGTCCCCGAGCCAACTATTTTAATCCTTTGTGGCCGGAGCTCGTCTCGATTATGTTTAAGAATCCAGTCCGTACCGCGAAGAGAACACCACATTCCACCATTACAACGATCAGCCGGTTAACGCCGGTTAAGGAAATGATCGCTGTTTACAGCGAGAGTTGTGCGAAACTCGAGTTGTTATTGCCTGCAGGAACAAATACAGCTTTTGTTCATGTCGAAAACAGCAACACTTACAATGTTTGTTCGAGACACATCGACAAACAAAGCCATCGAAGCCTACTTCCTAGGATCTCTCTCGCCTTTCGCGTGGTAACGTTTCTCTCATTTTCATTATCGTCCTGCTGTGGAGGTTTGAATGGGCAGACGAGACTGCAGTGTAACGGGCGGATTGCCCCGGAGGCCAGCAAGGATCACTTTCAAGTAGCCGACAAGGCTCAGAGCGTTCGATCCACTGTACTGTTACAACGCAGCAAACGCGACTCAGCAGAAGAATTCAGTCGATGTTCGAATGTGCAACATTCTTCAAATACGCGTTCGCAATTACCATTGCGCGCTCTCTTTGGAAATAATCAAATTTAGTAATAAAATATAAAAGACAATTTATGTACGCGCTTGTAAACATTTCTGTTTAGACAAACATGAGAATTTTTCAGATTAAATGCAAAATCGTAAGGAAAAAAATATATTTATAACCGTTTTCCTTCCTGTGTTGTGACGTCAGCGTCACTTTCAAAAACAAGTTCAGTGTATCTCGTAAAAGCCACGCGCATTCACCGCTGATTGTGCAAGGCGAAATCCTGGTCTCATGGAAACGAGACCTTTTGGCTATTAAGACAGGCCGAGAGGAGAAATGGCCGCTAAAACCTCTTGCTGTTATTCTGCTGAGGTGCAGGAGGTCACGGCCAGCAGCTCCCACAATGCATCACTTCACCTTCCAGAGAAGTCGTCTGACATTTCGCTGTTGTCTCGAACAAAACATTCTCCTTTCTCTCGAATATAAAGCGCGTTATAAAACCGGAGCCGATACAATTCACAGCTTAACGACACTGTTTCAACTACACCCGATTGATCTGCAACAACTGAGTAAAACTGGAAAAACTTTTTGGTTTGAGAATCTAAAAGAAAGGCAGTTCAGAAGATTTTCGCCCAGACCGGTGGATAATATTAAAATTGGCACTACAGAAATAATTACGAAGCTGTGAATTGTATCGGCTCCGGTTTTATAACGCGCTCTTGTGATCACTGTCCTGAACCTTCCAGTTACACAGCAAGAGGGACATTATGGACTAGATGAACGACTATCAGCAGCTCAAGAAAACTGAAGGAACCCACGAGGCTTGTGAGTCGGTGGACGTTTCGGAATAAGATCATGGAATCCCCGGAAGTCATCCGCCGGTCTGGAGG